CAGCTTTGCTTGGCCGTGTTAGGTCTCCTTCCTCATCTGTGAGTTTCCAAGCAGAAAGCCCTAACTAGTTCCCTTGGGGAACGCCTGGAGGCCACTTCACTACGTCATGTCTTGTCTGGTCCTGATTTTTTTTTTTTTGGTAATATGATAAAGTAAATTTATGACTATTTCAGAAGTAAAATCCATATGTAACTCCTTCCTTACATGTCACGTGAGAGGACACCTAATTGATTTTGAGCCAGATAAGCCATTGCGTCACGGAGATGGCCCTAGTCTATGCTGGTGGGCATATTTGAAAAGTGGTCTCTTTTGGAGCCACTGACACACAGATACTGAATCACGTGTTTACTACATGCTCCTGAAACTCGAGTGTCAAAAGAATCATAAAAGGTTAGAAAGGACAAAGGGCTCTTTATCTATTGTGATTTTATAAGTGAAGCAAAATTAGTCTTAGATGGTGATTCCTGAGTGATGCTGATACTATGGCGGAGTTTCCCCGGCTTGAGGCAAAATGAGAAAAAGGAAGAAAGACTGGGCTCACGCCTGTAATCTTAGCTACTTGGGAGGCAGAGATCAAGAGGATCGAGGTTCAAAGCCAGTCCAGGCAAATGGTTTGCAAGACCCTATCTCGAAAACACTTATCACAAAAACAGGGCTGGTGGAATGGCTCAAGGTGTAGGCCGAGTTCAAACTCCTTGGGGGGGTATCAAAATGTCTGGCCTTTTATGAAATGATAGTTAACAATAGATCATGAAATAAAAGTTTGGTGACCCTAAAGGAGCACTTTTACAGTTCTTGGAACCTAAATGTCCAAGAACCACTGTGCTAACATGTCCAACTGCAGCCTGATGGGTCTGGCTTGGTAGCATCCAGATAGCCGGTCCTCCCCTGCCCAGGTTCTGTCTTGAAGGACCCAGAGGACATCAGCTGAGAAGACTGCAGTCTTGGACTCTGAATCTTTCTGCAGCCTTCCTTGTCTAGTTAGCAGATTGCCAGCTCCTATCCCTTTGTGGGTAACTCTCAGGGCTGGTGTTCATAGACTGAACAGCAACCCCTAAACTGCTTCCTGAAATTCCCTGAGAGCTCCTAAAATTTCTCCTGCCCAGGTCACACCCCATACTCCTAACTCAGAATGCCTGTGAGCAGGAGCCAGAATCAGAATTTGCCACTCTTTGCTTTTGATTTTACTGGGCAGAGGCCCCAGGCTGTGGTGCAGTGAGTTCTGCCCCAGGAATGGCTCCTCCCCTCCCCCCAGTTAAATCTTTATTTCCAAAAGGTGCCTATTAAAATACTTATGTCAATATAGTAGCATTCAAAAGTGAGTGGACTAGTGGGTGGAGGTGTGGATCAAGAGGTGAGGTGTCTGCCTGGCAAGCACAAAGCCCTGAGTTCAAACCCTGGTACCACTGGGAAAAAAAAAAGTGGACTCATCAATTTGGATACATTTCACCTGAAAAAACATATGATGACAGATCTGTCTATGAGGAAGAGGAACTAGAACAAGGGTCAACACAGGTGCTGAGAAAATCCTATTTTCTCATCCTGGGGGTTCTTTGAGGTTCTTCAACCTCTGTGTTTTCGCTGTAAGAGATGAGTTAATTTCTCTAATTGGTAGGAGGCCAAGAGTGGAAGTGATGTGTCCTTTCTTGCTCAGTGGATGTGAGCAGCACCCGGCTCTCCTAGCACTGGCTAAGGACAGTTCTCTTCTTTTTTTTTTTTTTTTTTTTTGCAGTACTGGGCTTTGAACTCAGAGCCTTCACCTCGAGCCACTCCACCAGTCTTTTTTGTGTTACGTATTTTCTAGATAGGGGCTTGGGGTCTATTTGCCTGGGCTGGCTTGAACCTCAATCCTCCTGATCTCTGCCTCCTGAGTAGCTAGGATTACAGGTGTGGGCAACTGGTGCCCAGCAGTATGGTTCCTTTCTAAGAGGCAAGGCTGGGGTTGTTGCCACAATCTGGTTCTGGGGTGACAATTGTCCTGCCAGTTCTGACAGTTTGTCAACAAGTAAGTGTGATGTAACACCTGTTGGCAAAGACGCAGAACACACAGGCACTAGAACTTGTAGAACAAACCACAGATTACTGGAGGTGGCAATCACTGTGATACTCTGCACAGAAGTTCAGATAAAGATGGCTCTGTAGCCACTTTTGAGGTGACAGACTATGAACAGAGACAGATGTTTCCAGAGAGCATGTATGTGTGTGTGTGTGTGTGTGTGTGTATATATATATATAAACTCTATTCAAAACCAAGAGTCAGTGCAGGGAAAGCTGGATGGAAAATTGAGACGACAAATGCCATCATTGCTCTCTATCACTGAATGTCATCTTCCTTCTTCCCTCTTCTCTGAGGGACCCTGCCTCATCTGATGACAGTCCCTGTGCCCCTGCTTTCCTGCTAGCCATGGCCTTTGCTCCCCACTTGCACCTCTTCTTTCCCCAGTGACTTTCTGCCCCAGATCCTGAGTGGCCTCTGGCCTGTTTGGCCTGATGCCAGTGCCTCCTCTGTTAGACAGGGAACAGTGTGCCACCTGCTCTGCCATCAGCCCTGCTGTTTGACTTCTCTGTTCTCCGTGGAATGGAAATTCTCCTGCAGGCTCCCAGCAATTCCCTGGCCAGTCAGCAGCATTGCCTGCTGTCTGTGGTGTCCCTTGGCAGGTGACACTGTTGACCAATCCTTCATCAGGAGACTCCCCTCGCCCAGTTTCTGTGGTGAGACCCCTGTCAGGGCCTCTGCTTTGCTCCAGTTCCCTGTCAACAAACCGTTTCCAGTTTGCTCCTCCTCTCAGTCATGGGCTGCAAGCTGGTCCTTTGCTCCCCATTTCTTTCCATTTGTCACCTTTCTGTGCCTCCTGGATCTCCATTTTCAGTTCTGACCTTCCCCCAACCTTCATCCTTCCACTTCAACCTTGAAGACCTTGTTCTGTACTAGAATTTGTCCTTTCTCCCAACCCCATTAGGGCAGCCCCTCCCAACGCTTCTACCTCCACTTATGAGACCCGCCTTCATCTTCAAGGCACCACGCACAGCTTCTATTGTGATTTCTGACTCCCGCTCCTACCCCTGCATTTCTCTTCCTGATGGCATCACCCAGTTATGTTGGCTCCTCACCCATGGCTTCTCTCACCCAGTCTCTTCCCGGTCCTGTAGCCACCACCCTAGCTCGGTCTAGACTTCTATTGTTCCTGGAGCTACATAGACCCCACCTGCCTTCCAGACTCACTTCTTCTCTGTGCAAGCCCAAGAGCCTGGCATTGGCTGTCACTTGCTTCAGACCTTCCTCCACACTGCTCCCTTTTGCTTCAGCCAGATCCTGCCCATCCTTAGGTCTTCCCTCTTGTTGAACATGTGTCTTCAGACAGGAACAGGAAGGAAGTTATTTCTCTGAACTCCTTTGTTCTTACTGTCTCTGTCCGTCTGGTCATGCCTCCTGTCTCTGGCTTTCATGTGCTATCCTCCACCCACTGCACTGGGGCTCCCTCAGAGGGCAAGGGCTGGTTTGTCGGGCTCCTGGAAGCTCCTATAGGGCCCTGCCTGTGTGGCAGGGGAAGGGGGGTGGGTTGTTCAGTACCTGTTTCATTAAAGGTTGGTTTAAAATCACTGGTGGAGCGGTGGGGGTATAGCTCAATTGTAGAGTGCTTGCCTAGCATAGGAGAAACTCCAGGTTCAATCCTCAGTACAAAAAAGAAAAAAATATATGTAATTTTTTGACAGCATTGGGGTTTGAACTCAGGACCTCATAGCTTGCTTGGCAGGTACTCTACTACTTGAGCCACTCCACCATCCCAAAAGAAAAAAAAAAAAGAAATGAGTGCAGATGTAAGTTCTTTTCTTACAGCAAGAGAATTGTATGAACTGGTGAAAACTAGTATTTCCACTGAATGAAGGAAAACCTAGGAGAGACACGGAAAGTCTTCTGGAGAAGGTATCTGAAAAAGGAAAGCCTTCTGTACTTGAAAATTTACTGTAGGGTAATTTAATAGGCATTGGTCAGAGTTATGGGGTTCACATTAGCAGGTGGTGTGGTGCAGCCCATCCAGTGAGAGTTTGTTCTGTGGTCAGAGTCTCCTGATTTGTGAGGGGGGGATAAATTGTGTCTGCTTCCTAGAGTCGTGAACTTTATAAGAATTGTAAAACACTGTGCAGCATTAGCTCAGTTGCTTTTCAGTATAGGGCAGCTCCCCAGTTGCTTACCCCATGTAAAGGATGTCCTAAAGAGGCATGCTCTCAATGTGAGCAAGAGCCGGGCTGACCCTTGACTGGGAATCCTGGAAGTGAAACTCCTATAAGAATATAGGCTCAGTGCAGGTTCAGCACTGTGAAGGACAATGGTGGTCCCTAGAGTTATAGCGATGGACAAGCCACCGTCGTCCCTGGAGTGCTGAAGGTGAAGGAGAGGTTGCAGACAAGTGAGAAGAGAAGAAAGGGGGGAAGCGCAAGGGCAGCAAGGGGGTTTTGTTCTGATGAAACTTTCCCAAGGTGCTTTTCCAAGATAGAAGTCTGTGCTCTGTGGTCCCTGGAAAAGGTGCCGACCCACTACGCAGCTACTCAGTTGGTCAGGACACCAGGCTCATGAGACAAGAATGGGTCCTGCCTCACAACCAGTTCACTCCTTTCCATTCCATGGCCACAAACTCTGCTGACCCTTGATCCTGATTCTGCCCCACCTCTGGCTCCTGCAGGACAGCTCAGGCAGCCATCACTGAGCGCCTCCTCAGCGTTTTTCTCATTGACTCTTTTTAATATTGGAGAGCTCTTGAACCCACAAACTAAGGAAATATTAAGGGTACCCACAGATATTAACTATCATTGTTTTATTGCCACCTCCATCTATCCAGCCCAATTCAGTTTCCTGTTTATGATGAATTCACCCACCCCTTTCCATGGACAAGATTTTCTGATGCTTTGCTTCCTTAGGATCACTGGGGAAGGACTGGATTTTGTGTAGAGTGCAAACAGACTCATACAACCACACTGAAAATTCCCTTTTCTTTCCACAGGGGAAAGTGGAAGTAGAAGCTGGGAAAGAAGGTATGAAGTTTGAAGCAAGCGCTTTTTCATACTATGGTGTAATGGCCCTTACCGCCTCTCCAGGTGAGTTTGCTTCTCAGCCTGTAGGGCCAGACCACATATTAAATGCTTTCTACCCTCAGTGTTCTCTCTGCCTGCCAGCTGACCTCATTTATTTGCTTTTTGAGCTTTTTATTGATGTATAGCCATACAAAGCTGTGCAAATCATAAGCATACACAAGTTTCTGCACGCTGAACGTCACTGGGTAAACCAGCACTCAGATGGAGAGACAATGTTGTCACCAACCCCGTACACCCTCCCCCACCCTGTGCTTCCTCTGAGTCACTGTGCCCCCGAAGTACCCACTATTTTCTTGAACTTTGTACAAATGGATTTACGTAGAGTGTGTTGCTGGCTTCTTCCTCTCTGTGCTATGCTGGTCACAGTCCTGTGTGGTGGTGTGTATGGTTGGACTTTGTTTCTTCTCACGACCATGAGTGAATTCGCACTTACGCATTCATCCTGTCCCCTGCTGCTGGGCATCGCGGCGGCTTCCTGTTTGGGGCTGGTGTGAACTGTGCGGCCATGAGTGCTCCCATACCTGTCTTTTGGTGGACGCGTGTGCACGTTTCCACTGAGGTGGGATTGCTGTCATGGTGTGTGCACCTTCCTCTTTAGTAGCCACTGCCTAGTGGCTCCTGAAGGCTTGTCCCAGTTACACTCCTGCCTGCTTTGTGTGCAGGTGCCGGTGCTCTCCATCCAGCCGGTGACTCTCAAATGTTAGCTTTCTGGAGTTTGCCTTGCGTGAAGGAGGTTGTCACTGCATATTTACCTCCTTAGCTAGCCAGCTGAGTTGGCTGCTAAGGCGCGGGATAGTTCTCTGAGCACAAGATTCCAAGAGACCAACGAGCTGCACCTGTCCTGGAAGGAGCGTGGATGCCCTCAGCTGGTGGGCTTGCTCCCCTTCAGGATGGGACCTGAGTGGTCCTAAAGTGTTTGCTTTACCCTGGTAGGAGCAGGTCAGGCAGGTAAATGGAGGTGCTGGAGTGCCACCTTGTGGCCAAAATACCAAAGGATATGCTGTGCTAGGAAACTTAACCAACCTCCAACCTAAAAGGAAGGCTGTCAGTCTGAAAACCAGTCTTGAAAGGAGACCTCCAGACAAGTCTGTCTTTGTGACATTGGTCTTCATCTACTGAGAGACCCAAGGATGTTAGAAAGCCAGTCAGTATTTCTTTTATATGGGGATGATTTAACCAATATATAATGTAAACCTGTTCGGAATTGTCACCATGAATTCCTATACAACAAATATATCCTAATACAAGTGAAGAAGAAAAAAGAAAGAAAAAATATTCCTCTCATACATTAAGCCTCCTTTGCTCCAGATGCATCTTTTCACTGTCATGTGTAGATCTAAAAGTCCTGTGGACACAGAGTCCCCATTGTGGTCCTTCAGACCCCATTTATGTGGCAGATCTCTTGTAAATATAAAGGTGATCTTCCAGGGGCTGGTTTAAGTGTTTGCCTAGCATACATGAGTTCCTAGGTTGAATAGCCAATACCTCAAAAAAAAAAAAAAGTGACCTTCCATTTCCACTGCTTAGTGACACTGGAGAGAGGGGCACTTCATAACCAGGCAGGAAAGTCCTGGGTCACAGTTCCCTCAGTTCCAGCATAGGCAGGTTGTGTAATGTTGAGAAGAGCCCTTAGTTTCCTCCTCATTAAAAGGACATGATAGGAGGTATGGCTCAATGGTAGAAGGCCTGGGTTCAAACCATAGTCCCACCAAGAAAAAAACAGGATATGATATGCACACTTGTAATCCCAACTACTCAGGAGGCAGAGGCAAGAGGATTGAGAGTTTGAAGCTAATCTGGGCAAAGTTAGTAAAACTCTGTCTCAACAAAATACAAACAAAAGGGCTGGGGGCATGGTTCAAGTGACAGAGCATTTGCCTACATGCAAGAGGCCCTGGGTTCAATGCTCAGAACTGCAAAAAATATCAAATATAAATAAAAATGAATATAATAATACCTCCTGTGATTATTAGGATGGTGGAATGCACTGATATACAATTGAGTTGTAACCTTTAAAACACGAGAGAAAATGAATAGCAGAAGGTGTTATCATTGTGCCTATTTTGGGCAACCCACCCCCATCAGTCCCAGGTTAGCAGAACCAGATCTGTAAGGTGGGCTCCGAAAAGAAACAAAAGTAACTTGCCCATTTTTATTGGTTACTAGTTCTTTAGACCTAAGTATTAGCCCAGCACACAGAACCAGTGTGAGCAGGAATCCCATTCAGAATGGGAAGCAGAGTGACCTTCTCTAGGAAGCCCAAGGAGCAGCACCGCCTCCTGCCAGTGAAGAAGGGACAGTTCTCTAATACTTACTCCACTTATTCCAAAGCCTGTGTTCTACTTCACTAGCTGGGCTCTCACTGAGAAGAGTAATTGCTACAGGCATTCCCAGGTAAACAAACACTTACTTCTCATTATTAGGGTTGGTTGGGGAAAACCTACAATCCTTGGTTCTCAAGACACTCCCAGAAGTATTACCTGTCCATGACTACAGCTCCTTCTCTGTGTAAGCAGGGATGAGTGTAACCTTGGTCAGCTGTTCTCAGGAAATCTGGGCATGACATTCTTTATTCACGTTGCTTGGTTTTGAGATTTGCAATCATTCCAAAGCAATTCAAAGCATCAGGTCAAAATTTCAAGACTGCGAATGCAAATGAATTGGCTAAGTAACTGCTGGTCACAGAGAGGAGCACAGTAGGTCGTGCAGTGGATGGGACTGGGGTGTGACCTGGGTCATGCTCTTTAAGCAGTTAGTAGTTGAGTTCCCCTTTTGTGTGGCCATTTGTGCCTAGTATGTTTTGGAGCTGTGAACCCCGATTGGGTACTTGTAGCTTACAAGCTTTCTAGGCTAGATATGAACACATACACGGGGCCTCTCTGACCGCAGCCTCCCCAGCTCGCCTTCCTTGAAAGCAGTGTGTGTACAGTGCGCGTTTTTATGTCGTGTCACATGGGTTTTTGCACTTCTGGGCTGGAATGTTCACCTGGATAGAACAGGTATCCGTTCCCATTCTTGAGTAGAGATTTTCTTCCTGTCTTTCGATGCAATCTCACACTGCTTTTCTCCGTTTTTCAGTTCCTTTGTCCCTGTCCCGTACCTTTGTTGTCAGCAGGACAGAGTTGTTAGCAGCAGGTTCTCCAGGTAATTCTGCATGTTTCCTTTTCCTAATTCTCCATTCCCACCCTTGACCCCGCAGAAGCCTGGCTGGACCCCCTCTGTTTGGACAAGGCTGGTTTCTGTTTTCCTTTGAGCCTAAAATGCTAAGGTTTTCTGACTTGAGAGCAAGCTCTCCAGAAAAGTGTAAGAGTTCAGAGGGCTGGGAAGGAATTCTGGAATAGGAACAGTGATGAAAAGAAGAGCAGGAGAAAGGCCATCACACATGGCGAGTACCCCGCCCATCCCACCTGCACCACTGACCTGGAATTCTCAGGTCAGCCAAAGGGGAGCTGCTTTGTGGTCTTAACTCCAACTGTAGCAAGTCCTGGGGTGCAGCCTTAAAACCTGAGGCTAGAACGCATTCATCTTTTTGTAGAAAGCATTTGGCCAGAAGCCTGAAGGACTATGAATTTTTCTTAGCAAGCAAGAGAGAAAAACACCTCATCCACAGGGGCCGACCATCTTCCTGCCTCTTTGGTCCTCTACCCAACATCCAGGTGAACAGGGTTATGGTCTGCTCTCATCAGACAGTGGTCCTGCTTCTTCCTGTCTCCTCTCTGTTTTGAAATTAGTGCCTGCACATTCCTGACCAGCTGCTTTATCTCCCTGCAGGAGAGTTTGGCCATACCTGGCTACTATGTACAGCCATTAAAAGGAAAGGAAAGGGCCTAATCTTTCTTTAATTAAAATTGCTGGGCTCTCGTATTGGTAGCACAATTTTATTCCATACAGCTTATATTTTTAAACCTGACTGGTTTTATAATCCAGTTTCAGCAAAACTCTACAGTGCTGGGACTTGGTGAAGAAAGCAATACTTGTCTTAGAAGGAAATTAATGTTCTCTCCAGCCTTTGCTCTTAAAGTTTGGGGCATTTAGGGGTAAGAAATTCATAGAGTTATTTGAACCAAACCAGCCAGCAGAATATATGTGTATGCACACACATACACACACACATATGTGCATGTGTATGTGTGTTTATATTTTTTTCTCCTCATTTTATTTGTTGGCATCTCCTACCTCCTTAAAGTGTCCCAGATGCTGAAGCAGATCACTTTTGGGTAAAGCCATGTCATTTGTATTTACTTTTTCCATAGAACTTAGAGATTTCTTAGCTCTGTGCACTCCTTTTGATTCAGTAATAGGAAAGAGAATTTTGTGTGTCCCAGCCTGCAGAGATTCTAGTGTTACAATAATATGATACTTTGCAAATGGGGGTTAAACTAAGTCAGGGATTTCCAGCCTCTTCTGGAAGGTACATTATAGTTCCGAGGGAGAAGGCTGGGAATGTGTCTTTACTCTGTCTTCTAATTTACTAACAAACGGGAAGGGTCCTAGTTAGGATGGACGAAATAAATAAGCCAGACAACAAGTAATAATAATGGTAATAATAATAACAACAGATAAACCAATACTGAAATAGCAGAGAAACAACACATGACCCAAGCTATGGTGTAGCTGCTCCAGCCTCTGTCTGTGTGGGGTGGGTTTTCACACGTCTCACTGCAGGTGGATGCTTTCATTACAGGTCTGCCTTGGAATTGCTGGGAGTGTATGTAATGGGGCAGAGGGACCATGTTTTATTTCTAAATACCAGTACCTCTCTGGCTCCCATGGACCTGTATTATTATTCTTACTTTAATTGTCATGACTGAACTTGAAGTGCTAGGCCATGCGCTTAAGCGAAGGGTTGTGTCCCCAGCCCAGCATGCCAGGACTGTAGAAGAGGTCCTGGTTTCTCCCGGCTGTGGCTGTGGCTGTAACATTGGGCAGTGGGCTCCTGGCAAAGCACAGACTCCATCCCACAAGAACAGAGGACAGTGGTTGCTACTAACAGGGGGCCTAGAAGTATGCAGGCCCCAACCTCCATCTGGCTGAGAAGTAGCGAGCCCTCTAGGATTCTTGCCTTCATGCCTGTCAACTTTAGCACTTAGAAGTGAACACTGGGAAGTACCCATAGAAGTGGGGAGGGGATTTGTGATTGCATCCAGAGGGGTGGTAGGGTTCCTTCAAAGAACTGTCACATCTGCCCTCATGGATGACACTGTCACCATGTGGAAAGGCTTGGTCCTGAGGGTAGGCACACTGTGGTGAATGGAAAGAAGCTAACAGGAAGAAGAGAGAATGTTAACAAGGCACATTTATTGGGTACTTGCTGGGTGTCAGGTGCTGCACACAGCACTCTGTATAGTAGCTTGAGCTCTCAGATCTTACGAGGTAGGCATATTGTTATGTACACTTTACAGATAAGGAATCTGAAGCTTAGCAAAGCTGGGTCACCTGTTCAAAGTTCTGTTCTGCTCAATATTCAACATCCATGTGCCTTGTTCTCTTAGAAGATAAGCCAAAGCAATAAGAGTAGCTGCTGCTCTGAGTTTAATTTTGACCAGCTGTGTTAAACTAGTTCATGATGTGACAATTGTAAGTTGTGGCTTGGCAACCTTGGAAGAAAATCAACTCGTCATTTTGAACAATTTGGAGTGCTGACATTTTGTTCCAAGGGTCCTATTTTAAGGCAGACATTTACCAAATGGACAGTGATGAGGATAGGCTGAGGGAGCACATGTGAGGAGAAGAGACTTCAGGAGAGTACAAGTCTCTTCACATTTTTAAGGGCTGTTTCAAATAGCACAGGGATGAGAGTTGTATGGTGGTGCTCCATAATTGAACATGAGACTAGACTGGGGAGGTAGATTTGGCCATCACAATGGACTTCCCAATAGCTGAAGGACAAGACCAATGGGCTGGCTCCTCTGTGGGAGCATCTGTCAAATGGAAGATTAGGTCCCCTCCACTCCTGTGACCTTATGAATGTTCATTGTGGCACCCAGCTAATATCTCGGCAATAGAGTTGGTTAAGCAAGCAAAAATGGAAGAAGACTTGATGGAAGGCACGTTTTATTTTTAGCAAAATTTATACTGAGCTGGGGGCATAGTTCAAGTGGAAGAGCATCTGCCTAGCAAGCAGAAGGCCCTGAGTTCAAACCTCACTACTAGAAAAAATACATATATTTAAAGCTGTAGTGAACTTCCTCTGGGAGCAAGAGCACTTAGACTCCTTTCACTGTACCTTCCTGGCAGGGTGCTCTCAGAGTCTCACCGAGAGCCCCACAGCACCTAAGACCTCTAAGCCAAGCTTCTTAAAGGCTTGGTATCCTCTAGTGTTCTTGAATTCCTGACACATCCTTAAGCTGCCTGATGAGCTTATTTTTGGGGTTGAAGACAAATGTCTGGCCGGGGGATGCAGTGTGAACAGACAGAAGTGTTTTGGTATTTTGGTTTTGCTTCTGACAAAGTCATGAAGCACCATCTTCTCATGGCCTGCCCTGGGTCCCAGCTGCTTCCCTGCCATCTTCACTGTCATCTCATGGTGCTCAGTGATGTTCCTCACAGAGGTGGCTGCACAGCTGCAGATCCTTTACCATTAGACTGGGAGGACTGCATGTCACCTGTTGCTGACGAGAAGCCATCATGTGCTGAGTGGGGGACGTCCCTGCACTGCCACTATGTGGGCTAGGGCGTCGTGTATAAGCTTGTGGTAAATAGTTCTCATTTGGAAATAAAATGTTTGCTACTGGCTGTATCTTACTTCACTTGAAAGGGCTTTTCCTCCTTTTCTAGGTGAAAATAAGTCACCTCCTCGCCCCTGTGGCCTGAATCACTCAGACTCTCTCAGTCGAAGTGACCGGATTGATGCAATAACACCCACGTTGGGGAGCAGCAACAACCAGCTCAATTCTTCATTCCTGCAAGTCTACATCCCGGACTACTCGGTGCGAGCCCTTTCTGACCTGCAGTTTGTCAAGGTAGGTGGAGGGGGGATGGTGGGCTGAACCTGGCAGGCTGATTCCAACTTCACCGCAGGCTGTGGTCCTGCAGCCCATCCCCTGAGCTTTCCCTTCGTTGTTTGGCTGTCATTGGGTACCCTGCCTCCAGCTCTCATCTGTGATGCCTGCTTCATCTGCTGGACCCAGGACTCAGGCGGTGAATGTCCTTGGCTTTATCCAGTGAGCGGCTAAAGCAAATGTGGCCTTTGCAGGGAATGGGAGCCCTTTCTCAAAGGGTTTCCACAAGCCCATGACTGTTGATTCCAGGCTGGCCTGGGAAACACTGTGGTTGGAAGACTCATGGTAACTGAGGAGGCCCAGCCTCCTGAGAGGGCTAGGAGGAGCTGCCTCTTGCCTTCTGTCCTTGAGACAGGGTCTTTGCTTAGTCTGAATTAAAGATGTCCTTTGAAGAACAAGCCAGCGTTAGTTGGTGAGAACCCCTCTGTTTTCTAAATTTTGAAACAAGATTTGGAAATGGTTACATCAGCAACCGACTTGTTTGCCAGAATCAACCTTAACTTTAAAAAGTGGCTTGGTTTCTACTTAAGGGTGATTTTCCCTTGGAGAAACTGCCCTGGGCTTTTTGGGGTTCAGTGTGTAATATGTAGAGACAAGAGAACCTAGATATAAGCACTCTCTTGGTTTGTTTTCTGTGTCATCTTCCGGCCCAGATCTCCAGACAGCAATACCAAAATGCCTTGATGGCATCCCGGATGGACAAAACTCCTCAGTCTTCAGACAGTGAAAACACTAAAATTGAATTGACTCTTACGGAGCTGCATGATGGGCTGCCAGACGAGACGGCCAACTTGCTCAATGAACAGAACTGCGTAACGCACAGCAAGGCCAACCACAGCCTGCACAGCGAAGGCGCCATCTAGGAGGGCCCAGTGGGCCCTCCTCGCCCATCCCCCCATGGCCTCTGTCTGACCATTAGTGTGAGCTCGTCCGCCACGCTGCGCCCTGCAACATTCTCAGACCAAAGACTGTCCGCTTCCTGGAAGCCACGGAGGAGGATGGCGTGGGGAGGGATGGAACTAGAAATGCGACATGGACAACTGGGGCATGGCATTCAAGATCTCGGAGACAAACTTCTTCCGCCCAAATAGAATCATGTTTATTTTTTCAGCTCTACCTTTTATCATTACTCTCCTCCCTCGATTTGCATGAAGTTGAAAATTGTTGCGATTTATTTTTTCAAAAGATCATGTTTTTTAAAAGTGTCTTTTGCAGAGTTTTAAGTTGTTCTGTCTGAACTCTGCTGTGATCCCATGATGTGACCCTAACAGGATGGACTTGCCCCTCAAGTGGCCTTCCTTGGCCCTTCCCGGGACACCCTTCCTCTGTGCCCCAGTGGGTGTCGCTGTCGAACTTGATGGATGAATGAAGAAAACTGTGTCACTTCAGAACCTGCCAAGTCTGTCGTCACTGTGGGGCGTAGCCTGCAGAGGAACCTGCAGCTGCCCCTCTGCGCTCAGTGTTGTTTGGAGAATTTACTGTTAATTATGCCCCTTTCCCTCAGGAAGGTTTAACATTTGCTTGGGAATATGATTTTGCTCTCACCCTAAGGAATTTTTATCACCAAAATGAATGTTAATGAATTTTAAACCCATGGTTTATCATTGGCAAGAGCAAGTTGACTTCACCCTGACATTCCTCCGGCCTGGGGTGTCAACTCAGCCAGCCCTCCCCGACCCTAGAGCACAGAGCACTGTCCCCACGCCCCAGTCCCTGGCCCTTGCTACCCCAAGATGCTGCTATACAGATGCCAAATGGAAACCTTCCACGGGCTTCTTGGTAAACGTGGTGTGGAGGTCCTGCTCCTCCCCTTCCCAGTGGGATGTATGTAGTTATCAGAACAGGAGACGGACTCTGTACTCTAGAAGGCATTTCTAGACCCATGTTTTCAAAGGAGGGAACTTTGGGGATTGCCAGTCCCTATCCCTCCTTCCAGGGAGCCAACTGTCCCTCTTCTTCCCCTCTGTCTCTGGGCTGTGGGGCCCAGCAGTGGCAGCGTCCTCTGCCCGAAATCTGCTGTGTCTCCTGCCTTAGATGTGGTGACACCAGAGATGCTGCCTGTACAGCCAGGGTCAGTTTGGCCCCAAACAGGGATTCAGAAACCAAATGTGTGTTGTGGCCATTTCATGTGTGCGTCTGTCTTATTTAATACCAAATTCACCATGAGTAGTGAAATTCCTATCAGCACGCGTTTCTTGAGTGACTGAATGCTTAACGAGTGTCTCTGTTTTAAGTGGTAGTCAGGGGATGTATGTGTGTGTCTTGCCGGTGATGTTCATACGCTGAAGCGAATTCCTCCTGACCATGGTGTTTGGCAGGATTTATCACTACCCACTGCAGCTGGTCACTAGCAAGGAAGAGAGCATCCTACACCTGGGCCTCCCGGGTGCAGGGAGGCACTAGGGCTTGGCAGTGGTCTCCTCCCTCCTCAGGTAGGAAGTCTGCTCACGCCAGGCTGGTCTCCTCTGTGGGGGTGACATGTTGGGCTGGCCTCCTGGTGAGCAGCTTGGTGGCCCTGGAAACTTTATTTTGTAGTATGGGGCCTTGCATATGCTAGGCAAGTGCTCTACCTCTGAGCTACACCGCCCGCCCTTAAGTTTGGTGACTGTGGTGTCACATGCATTGACTCAGTGTTCCCCCGAGGTGGCAGTCCTGGAGCATCTTCCTCAGAAGTTTCAGTGGCCCCAGTAGAGAGGAACTGGCCTCACTTGGAGGAGGGTCCTGGGGGTTCTCAGAGGGCCTAGTGGCTTGGGATGGAGTGGGACCCCACACTGTGAGTAAACCCCTTTTTCAATCTCATCCATCCAAGTTAAAAAGTGTATTTGCTAAGAGGAATCTGGCTGATCACAACCCTAGCTTGATGAGTGCGTAAAAATGAGAGCTCCCTGTAACCGGCCCTGAAACCCGGGCCTGTCCAGGGCAGGAGTCTCTCCCCCAAGCAGCTATTGCCCAGCCCAGAGATGCTTGCCTTCACTGAGGGAGCCAGGTGGCTGAGCTGAGCTGAGGTTCTCTGGCCTCCAGGCACTGCCCTGTCAGCCTCTCAGGCCCAGAGCCACTGTCCGCACTGCTGTCCTGGGTGGCCTTGCTGGAAGGAGCCTCTAGAATGAGTTGAATGTTGGTCTTTTTCAGAGTCCCACTGCTCCTTCAGGGATCCTAGAGATCTGTAGAGGCTGAGAAGTACAGAGCACCAGCTGGTGTTTCTGTGACATCAGGAGAAATGGAATTCCTTGATGCTGTCCTGCCTGCTTCGTGTCATGACTTCTTGCAGAATATTCTCTTACAAAGAGAATGGTGGCGGGGAGGCTCTACAGTGGGGCTTAGAGCGACACGGTTCCTTTTCTAGGCCTCAATTTGCCTTTGTAAATGGACCCCTCAAACAGCCGGAGGAGAAACACTGGCTTCTCGGCATTGGAAGGAGAATGGCCTTGGCTAGGACAGCCTGGGCTGTTCGAGGCTGTAGAGCCCATGTGTTGGGCCAGGAGAGACCAGTGGGTAGTTAAAATTTCAGTGTGCAGAGACTCCTCCCTAGCAGCTCTGGCCAGTTTGTCCTCTCCCAGGCTGCTGTCTGATTAAGGAAGGGAGGGAGGGAGGGAGGGAGGGCGATGGGTGGGCCAGGTGCAGGCTCCCAAGCTCTGGTACTGCTGGAGTGGCCTGCTTTCTCCGTAGTGGCACCCTGGCCGTGTGGGAAGGGAGCAGCCATTCAGCATCCCGCAGGCTCCACTGGACCCCGGTATCTGAACAAACGTTCCTAGGCGGATACTTCACCTTCTCTAAATGAGGGCCTTTTTCGTACTGCCTTAGAGCTCTCCTTGCGCTGCTCTGTTCTGAATTCATCAGGCAAGTCCCAAATTGTACATTTAAACTCTCGAGAAATAGAACCCTAAGATTGTACATGGATATTGGGGTGCTAATCAACTAGCTTAAAGCTTGGTTCTTAAGTATTTTGAACTTGAAAGAGTGCCACCTATAATTCTCTCCCCCTCTCCTCCCCTCTTGTCCTGCAAGAGCCCAGTGCCCTGTGGGCACAATTAGCTTCCCCAAGTGGGGGGCGCTGGGTGGCATATCACTTTTTAATGTTAGCTCAAGGAACTTGTGCAGATGTTGAACGCAGAACTTAACACTGACATGGAACAGACTGTGAATAGATTTACCTTGATATCCCCAGTTCTGTACAACTAAAGGACCAGCTTTTCCAAGTCTAGGAAAACAGTGATGAACACAAATGCATTTTCCTTAGGAAGTGGAACGACAGAATTTTGAGTTAGGGACCATCAACCTCTGCCCTCAAGGTTTTCAGGTTGAGGAGCAGGCTGACTGAGCCTATGTCCTGCTGGTGAAAAACACACAACCACCTCTGGCCTCTTCTGAAGGCCACCAGGGATCTGTGCCATCTTTGCTGTGCAGGGAGGGGGTGGGGAGGGCATGCTGCGTGACTTCCTTGGCTGCTGCAGAAAGGTGCTTACCTTGTTCCCTGAAACTCCAAGAACAGGCTAGGGAGGGCTTGCTTTGCACACTGCCCTGTTTAACCTATGCTTCCTGGTGGCATGGGCAGTGGCCACAACTCTCTCTGCTCGGATCCCAGACAGGCTTTTCTTTTGAAGGGTTGAGGAGAAAATGAGGAGCTCCCTCCTTGAGGAAACAGGCTCATGGAATATGGTCCCTCCCTGGGCCATGTTTACTTCCACTCTTGGCTGTGGGTTAGTGAGGGCTTCTGTGCAGCAAGGGTGATTGTATGAGTTGTAGGGTAACCCAAAATTAGGAGGAATGTAGAGTTGACTATGAAGATGATTTGGGGATTCAGACTGTTCTGGTACAAATTTATCAGTGAGCAGCCTATTCAGTGAATGGCTATACCTCAGGGCTATTTCTCTATTTCTTTTGTGTTTGCGTAGGTCAATAGGAGAGCTGAGATCAGAGACTTCTAGACTGAGGTTCATCTGCCTCCAGTTGAGGGATGAGTTTTACACCAAGGGCAAGTCTGCCAAGAGCCCTGTCCTAAGGTTGTGATGTGCTTTCTGCCTCTTTCTTTCTTATCTGAAGACTACTCCACAGTCCCCGGTCAGCCCTAAGACAGGAGGAAGAGATGGCAGTTCATAGCAACTGCAAAGTAGGAGCAGCCATCCTCTTGCCAGCTTGCACTGGGGACCTATGCTTCTTAGACTCCCATGGTTGGCTTCACTCAAGTAACCCTCCACCATGTGCTAGAACCACTGACATCAAATTAACTAGAATTGTTTTAAATGTCTCTTGATGGCAAATACCAGGTGGTACTTTAAGCAAGATGGAAGTGAAGGTTCTTATGGCAAATGAGTGCTAGGTGTTTGTATGTGAAGGGTGTTCTTGTTTTTGCAGTACTGGGGATTGAACCTAGGGCCTTGTGCATACTAGGCAAGCGCTCTACCACTTGAGCCACACCCCTGCCCTGCGACGGTTTATATGTTCACAGATCCAACACTTAAGTAATACAGACTTGAATACATAATGTTTTCAGGACTTAATACCTGTTGAGACCATATACAAATTGGAAGAATCAAGGTAGTGTTTTGCCCCCACTTTGGAAGAGTACCTTCTGCTCCCACGTCTGGTCCACGTGGCTTTGCTCAGGGGGTCACATTCCTCCAGACTCACCCTGAAGAGATCAAAGGGCGCGCTTGGGTGCACGCTCTTGGTTGGCGACTCAGGTCCCTTGAGTATAAAAGCTGGGGTTCCAGGCTCCCAGAGCAGAGAGGACTGGGGAAGAATGGGGTCTTTGGATTCTCCCCAGGGAGGCCCAGCCTAGTTTGATTACTCCCCACATCTGAAGTCCACTGTGAAGGTAGAGTGTTTTGATCCATTGACTTTTCTTGTTTTTGCAGTCCTTTAAAATCCACAGATGTATATGCTTTGTTTTATATTATTTATTATGTACATATGCCTCTACTGTTAGTACATCCTCTGTGACTACAAGATGTTTTGAAGCCCCTCATCCACGGGGCCTAGGGTTCTGTTGTCCTTTTTTGGGTGAGAGGCCAGTGGTGGTTGGGTTTGTTTGTTCTTAAATGTTGCTGCTCGTACTCTGGCCTTAGCATCCCCAGCCCTATTATTGCCCTTCTCCCCACTCCTGACGGCCAGTGTCTGGGAGGAAGGCAGAGGCAGGTCTCCTACCTTGTGCTTGGGCCTCTCAAGTCCCTCCATGAAGTACTACAGAGGTAGTTTCTTGGTGGCTGGGTCTTTTCCCCTATGCAGTGGTACATTATGGCTGTGAGACCACAGCCTCCTTCCTACCCCACTCCCAAACCAAGTCAGTTGCCTGACCCCTCTACTTCTGACCTTGGACTGCAGAATCTGTCTCGACCATGGAAGCTGCCTGCTCATCTGGGCTCTTCATATGCCTTTCTTTGGTGGTAAGGCCCAGCGCCAACATTGCCTTGGCCCTCGAGTAAGCCCTTGCTTTGTGTGTGTCTTTCATCCTCCTTGGCCCTTCCTCACTGTATCATGGTGTACATTTCATGCATTAAGCAGTGAAGTTTTCTGAATACAGTATTCAGAGCTGTGTAAAGCTAAATAAGCACAAGTCAAGTGTATAGGTTTCATCAGCTGATTGTCATAATGAATGCGTTTTATAATTCAAATGATGATGTAGATTTACAATCTCTCATATTTATTTTGTACCAATTTATTTGTAAATCTTGTGATTGTTTTAAAAAAAGGTTTTATTTCTATTATTCTATTTAGATAAATGATTTTCTGTTCACCCTTCTAGCAGATGTGTGTTGCCTGTTTCCCTTTTCATCTATGCAACACCAACCATGTTGTGTTACTCAACTTTCGTCCCAAGCCCAACTGCATGGCTTTTCAAGTGGGAAAGCCAGTACTAGAGCTCAGCATGGCAATGCAGCAGGGCACATCCTCTGGACAGACACTGCAAGTCTTGTGTTAACAGAGAGGTGGGAGTAAGTTCAGTATCTTGGAGATACAGCCTGGTGCAGCAGGTTCAGGGGTAGGGGTTGGGGGTTTTCTCAACAAGGATTGCTCCCCATCAGTTACTCTCTAGAAAAGGACAAAAGTATCCATGAACTTACTCCAGGTATTGGCTGCTCAGCCTCTAACACAGAGTTCAGTTGGTCAAATGGCCAGACTGGGTTTTCCATTCTTGGGCAAAAACAAAGACTTCATAAAAGCCTTTCAATTAGCTCTTGAAGATGAGAATGTTAGTGCAGATCCTATTCTGTGCTAAGCCTGCAAGGTCAGACAGGTGTGAGTGGGTCGCCCTCAATTTACACACACTTTTGGTACACTTAGGGGAGACATGTTAGATGCACTTTAGGCCTTGGGTTCCCTATATCCCCTAATAATCCAGTGTGTATGGTCCTCAACCTCCTCCATCACATCTTCTTTCATGCCTCCCTCACTCAAGACCTGAAGTATTTTCTAGTCTCTTCAGGGCCCCTCTGTAATCCATTCCTAGACTGCATCTTTCTGGTGTCCTTTCTTCCCCCTCTACTCTTAAGTGTTTATTTTACATTTTGAAGAGGAGCACGCCCTGAGAACTGAGCTGCTTGACTGGTTCCTTGTAATCTCCATTACAGTTACTTAACCATGACATGTACAGTCTATTTTTACTTATACTTGTCATGTGGCCGGGAACATTTCTGTAAAGAGCAGTTGATAGGCTGGTTTTGAGACACTACCTGACCTAACCACACACACTGCCCAGTCACTAACCCATTTCCTAAAAGAATGAGGTGTATCTATATTCCACCAAGATGCTGTCTTCTTGGGAGCCTGCTTGTTTTTCCCAGGAGCAGGCACAAAACAAAAGCAGGGCAGGGGGGGGAGGAAATAACCCAAGCATTTACACCCAGCTGATCACTTTAGTGTCCTTCTAGACTCACTTCATCTAGGTAAGTCCTGAGTTCAACTCTGAAAATGCCCAAGGAAAATGGAGACAGTTTTTCCTACTGTGAAGAATCTGTCTAAGCTTTCTCTCAGAACCCTTGGAGTGTACACTTCTCAGTTCCTTACTCAGCTTGATTGTGATAGGCTCTGGGGTTTCTATTTTAAATAAACAGTGCTCCCTCCCAGAACCTCTTCTCAACTTCAGTGCTTCTAAGGAAACAAATACTGATCAGAAGGTCTTGTAGAGAAAGTGGCTGAATGAGCTTTTCATGGCCTGGAACTGATTTCTGGAAATTTATTTTATGCTCTTTTAAGGTAATTAAATGTAATAGGACATTCCTTATTAAAGCCAAAAAATTGAATTAGATGGCTAATAAACTCATTTTCTTTGTAAGATTGCCTCTTTTTCCTTCCAAGGGCCTCATGTCTATGCACATACTTTTAATAAGTTCTATGATAAAGGGATGATTATAGAGCCCCTTGTCACTGTAACTTTCTGGTGACAATGCTGTCTTCCCTGGTAGATGATTATGGAGTCCAAGGATGCAAGTTTTTAAGGGGGAATGAGTTGCCAGGCTTCTTTGTCAAAGTGCTTTTCTTGCTAGGGCATTAGTGATTCTTATGTGTTCAAACAGTAGGCTAATAACTGGACAGAAAGTTTTTAATTGAGCCATAGTTCTTCTACACCATTGACTTACGAGCAAGGGGTCAAAAAATGAAGTTATTTTCTTCAAAATACCCACATTCACAAGTCAAAGGTTGTGTCTGGTGAGAACCTTCTCTCGAGAAAGATTGGACATTTAATAAATATTTTTCATTGTGGGGAGGTTTGCTTGACAAATCCTCTAAGTATCTCAGGAACTTGTGAGACTTGGAAGGATCATTGCTGTCTTCCATGGGAAGAACGTGCACTCTGCTTGTTTGTGTGGGAAGGTTTATTTCACCCCAGACTCTTTCAGGCTTCATGTTCAGCCTTTGGGAAGAGCTGATCGTTTTACCTAATTTAATTCACAAAGCAATCTAGCTCATTCACTCTTCCTCTAGTAATAAAAATGGAACCAAGTTTTCTTATTTTGTGTGGACACAAAAAAAGCCAGACTCAAAACTGGTTGTTTTGCTTTAAATTAAAAAATACAGATTATTTGGATATGCAGTATGTAAGTCAGCAAGTTGAGATGAAATGTTCTGAATTGATTGGGGAGTACTTTTTTGCATGAAAACTCTACAAAGGAACTTAAACTACTGTATATCTAAGTCATGCTTTGCTTCACAATGGTACTGCATTCTGTGTTTGTACTTACACAAACTAGGGGGATACAAAAGCATTAGACCATATAATCTTAAGGAACCATTGTTGTGTAAGCAGTCTGTTGTTGACTGAAATATTGTTAATGTGGCACATGGAAGTATTTTATTTTTGAAATTACAAATCTTTGTTGGACACCTTTGTCAGACTGTAGCCTTGGGATAGGGTGAAGACAATGTGTCTGAGGACAGGAAAAAATGGTTGAGAACAGAAAAGCTGTTTTCATTTTGTAATTCTCTTTTTAGATGACTTGTTTTCTGCTACTGCTAAACACTGCAGTGAGAGAACAGAATGCAATGCTGCTTTACTGTTAGTGAAGGTATATGATGGGCCAGTGTGGGTTTCTGGCTGCCATATGTGTACACAACATCTCTGCTCCTTAGTAGCACACATTTTTTTATCTTAAACATTGTTCAGATAGCTGTATGGTAGAGATTTCAGTCTCGGGGCCTCCCAAAGTTGTATATTATTTGATGAAATTGTTCCATTTGAGAAAAATCTTTAAGAGATGCTGGATGTCCTAGTCACCAAGAAAGAATGCCAAGAGAAACATAAGTACTGAACCTCTACTAAGCCAAGTGAGGGATCAGGCTGCTAATGGTATGGCAACAGCTGGCTCATAGTTACCATTTTTCCCACCATCAATGAGAGGTTAAATAGTTTCCATAATATGGAATGTGGACAAAGTTCCTACCCTAATACAGACTTAAATATGCAGTTGTTTGTCTCAGGCTATTTGTGGTGAATAAGCAGAGTATTTAAAAATGCTCAGGCAGTCCTGGAAAAATTGCAGGGCTTTAAAGTTGTTGACAAAATATTTCTTAAATAAATAAATCTGATTTAGAAATATCTAAACAAGGACAAAGTACTTTTTAATCTGAAGTAAAGTGCATGTGGATATGCCTTTTATGAATGGTTTCTTAAAAGCAACTCTAACATGACTGAAGGATTTATAGCTTTCAGTTATTACAGTTCTTTTAAAAAATTTCTAAAAGCATTTTAGAAAGGCTAGCTTTTGAGGGGCTTACTTTATTATATTAGATTTCAACAGAGCTATGCTTATGATAGAAAAAAAAAATCTTAGTTCTAAACCAGAAAACTAAACTTCCTTGGCTTCAAAAAAACATTTCTGAAATGTACCATAAGAGCTTCAGCTGACCTCTGCAGAGATGGATGTACTGGGTGATTTCTCTAGCAATGGGAACTTAATAAATCTGGGTGTGATCTGCCTCTGGCCTGCTGCTAAGTACACCAAGGTCCCTATGTCCTAGGGTTGGGAGTTCACTTTATCCCTCAAGAAGAGGGTGTTTATTATTCTACAAAGCTTATAAATAAGTGGTGTTTTAATAATACCTAGAGGAAAATTCTTAAAAGAGATGAGTCTTCTTGTGGTCTAAAATTCTTAGGTTAAAAAAAAGGGAACAGTATGTATTTTAATTTCAGTTTTCTTAACTACTGGCAACAGAGAAACTCATAATTTATGTTTTAGAAAGTCAAACTGCAGCTGCTGTGAGTGCTTGCCCTTGGCACTTTTGATGAGACTAGTATTCAGAGAAGCACCATTCTGCTCCAGGTCTTAGACATCTTAAGGAATCCTAGCTCTTTAATAATATGTTCTAGTTGTCCTGAAGAAAGCTGTGACCAGCAGTGAAAATCTTATTCCACTTGTGTGATTTTTTTAACCTCTCAAACTCTATACCCAGAGTCATCTGACTGCTAGAGAATCATCTGGCTAATAAATTCTTAATATAGACACAATACAAAAAGGATAGGTACAAAAGCAAAGTTATGTTGGTCTTTGCTCTATGAGAGCAAAAACCATTTTACAGGTAGCTCTGTAATTGTAATAAGCCACTTAAGAGATTATTTGTGTTTAAGAAAACTTAAGACTGTCAAATTGGGGTGACCATAAATATTCTCTGAAAATTTTAAACAGGGATGGCATCTGTTACTTACAATAGCATTTCTAACCTGGTTCTTCTGAGGCAGCATGTGTTCCCCATGAATACCAGCCAGAATGTATGCTTTGTGGCATGACTTAAGTTAAAGCCACATATATTGAAAGTCATGAGACAGTGTCCTCGGTTAAGTTACTGGGCTGTGTTCCCTATTATTTTGAAGTCTCACCTCACAATCCTATACTAAAAAACTATGTGTAAAAATTCTAAGGCCTATAATATAATACAGGTAATGTTACACCATATAAATTCTTGACTATTTTTTTTTCACCAAAAGAGATCTGGATCTGTTTGGCATTTCTGAAAATGTGTATTTCCTTAAAAGAAGAGGATGTCGAATTGTCACTAAGCCAAAGCAAACCTACTTGAAGACCAACAGCCATTAGTTGTACTACACAAGGGGTCAAAGTCAGTATTAGAAATATTACACTTTATTGAATTCTAGAGCAGCTAGTCTATCCTCCCCTATTGATCAGTGACATAAGAATGGAAGAAAATATATGAAGATTAAAGTATACCACTGTTTAAAATGTTGGAATAACTTCTATACTGGTAAGGCAGTTATAATGCCTTAATGTATACAGTAATGGTTCATTCTTGTTCAAAGCAAGAAGCAAGTTTACCTTGGGATTCACAAGTAAAGTTATTCTCACTGATTGTGTCTTTTGCTTTAGTATGGTTTTGGCTTACAAAGCCCTTCTTTTATTCTCATGTTCAACTTTAAAACAGCAATCAACCCTAAAGGACAAAGCAATGTAAAATTGTAGAGCAAGAACCACAATTGTAGTCCACACTAATGAATCAGACTTGAGGAGAAGGCTGTTTTTTTTTTTTTTTCCCCTTCTGGGGGCTTGCTCCTTTGTCCTCTTTCAGCTAAATTCCTTTATAGATGTATCGCAGATTAGAAAAAGGGTGCATTTGTGCTATTAACTTAAAAAATGTAGAAAGGATAAGGACTTTCACCTCAAAATACATTCCCTGCAGTCCCTTCCAGACCAACCCCAAAGCAGAACATTTCTGCAAAGGCAATGTCAGAGCGGCAGCCTTGCCAGGGTCAGTGAAGATACTCAAAGGCTTATGAAAGGAAACTTGACCTCGACAGAAAACTACACTTGATGATGAAAACAATATATTTCTCCAACTGACATACAATACTGTGTAAAGTTGGATTTTGGAGTAACAGCACAATTTGTAGCAACATTTTTGTATCACCTCTTCCTACTGTTCTCCTTGTTCCACTCTGAAACCCTTCACCACCCTTAGTGTATCCAGATACACTATGACATATTGTGATGAAAAAAAGACAAGAAAAACTGTCACAAGCCACAATGGAGCCATCTGCATGCAGTTCAGCCTGACTTTACCCTTTCTTTCAATACAGACTCCATTACAATTTCAAACCATCTGCAAAGAATACAGATACACAAAACTAAAACAAGTATCACCCTATGATTAGAATATTTTTAAGTCTTCAGAAACTTTCTGGACATACCTTTGATGGAGCCCCCCAACCCCTCTCCAGTAGAACCCAAACAAGGACATTCTTTGCTCCTGTGAGTCCTGCCAGAACTTGTTTAAGGGGCATCCAAGGTTTTGGTTTTCCTCCTTATTCTTCCTCCTCCTCCTCTTCATCATCATCCTCATCATGGCAGTGTGTAATTTCCTGGGGAGCCAGCGGGAAGAGGTTGGGGGGTTTAATCTCACTAATTGACCTTGTCAACTGGTGCCGCTTATAGTCAGTGTCTTTGAAATCCACTGATGTGCGGTTTCGGGTGGCAAGAGGGGACTCCATCTCATTGATATCTACATGTGTGTGCTCCACCGTTGATTCATGAGGCATCTAGAACAAAGCCAGAGGCTCAGATTGCAGGCAGAACAAAACAGGTGCTTCCCAAATCCTAATCCCTCTTCCTTCTCAGCTGGCCATGCAGAGTTATAATGACCAGAGATAAGTTATTTGGATATAGCTTAACAGAACTACCTAAAATCTGGTCTGTGCCTGGATCATTTACTACAGACTGAAACTGGATAAAATAGGAGAAATTCTTATTTTCTATTTCACAGCCAAAAACCAGTCCTGAAACAGATCAGTATTAGAATCTCTTTCAATTAGTACTAAGGAAAGAAGAAACTCTTCACCATTCAATGTAACCTCAGGGAGTAGTTACAGTCTGAAGTATCTATTTTGGTCCTATTTTCTTGTGCAACCACATAACCTGTCCATAGGTTTTGCACATAAGTATGTTCAAGTTGGCTTCCATGCCATTCCACAAAACTGGCTTCAGAACTTGAACTAAAGTGTATTTTAACTGTCAAAAGTAACTACTCACCAGGACATGGGCAGCCCTGAAGAGGTAGCTGAATGGGTAATATAGCAGGTTGATGAAAGATGCTGCATAGAGATCAGCATAACGCATCACTTGGCTGGCAAAGAGTGTCTGCCGGGAGCCACTGCGAAAGAGGCTTCCCATCATCCCATAGCACATGTCCATATCATGAGTTACTTTCTAAAAAAAGAAAAAGAAAAAGCTTCTCAGTGGATTCAACATATATTTATTGGGTACCAGCTGTATGCCAGTCCTTTTATAAAATCAGAAATGAGAATCATTTTCCAAGTTTTCTCCCAAATCCTACTTTTTGGATACCTTAATTCGTCTCTGAATGGAGCTAATGTCTGGGCGCTCATTGCTACTGCTGTCAAGGTGCCTGGAGACAAGACAAAAACCCAGTGAAAATCTCCAGAAAGAACATATCTTACAACTAAGTGATTCCTAAAGAGGTCAATGGGTTTTTAGGGAAGAAAACTTACTTGTAGAGTTCAGCCAAGAAAATATCCAAGCTCTGAAGTTCTTCAAAAAGTGCTAGTTAAGATTTGGGAAGGAAAGGAAAATGTTTTACATAAATCAAATAAAAGCACCCAGTTTTTAACTAGTGCTAAAAGTAAAGTAAAATGTTATAGATACAACCAAAAATATAGCCTGGAACTAATTTGCATAGGCAAGTGTATAAATTACTCTTTTTTCTTCAGGAGAACCCACTGATACCCTGCTTCAAACTTGGCAGCAGATGAATATACAATTTCCTTTTTAACTGCCTTTCCTCTTACTTAAACACCACTGACCACAACTTTCCCTTCTAGCTACATGCTTATTCTGAGCTTACAATGTGCCAATTCCTATTCTGCCTCTGGAGAGGCACTTGCATCCAGCAAAGCAAGTGTTGAGTCTCTTAGAGGAAGACTGAGAATTAGATGACTTCTCCAGAGTCACAAAACCAAGAAATAGTAGAGTCAAGTCAACTTTATGAAGTAGGTACTATTATTGCTCCTATTTTTGTATTTTAGGAAACTAAGGTCTAAGTGCATACATTATTTTAAGCGGAAGAGCCAGGATTTCCATTAGAGGCAAGCCAAGTTTCTAGAGTCAGTAACTTTGATCACATTGGACAATGCTCACTAGGACTTGATGATGAACTCCTGTATACAACTATATCCACACCTCACCTGAATAACAGTGTATGTACTCCATATACCCAGTGTGTGTGGCTCAGTTTGAAAATATGATTTGGCCTCATTTTCAGAAGAGTAAATAAATACCAGGAGATAGTTAATATTCAGCACCATTACTGCCCCAGAATCACAGATATGGGCTATTAGCAGAGACACTGGGACTACGACATGTGGTTAGAGAAATATGAACTGTAGAGCAAAGTTCCAGTTCACAGGTTAGTTGTTATTGTACTACAACTTAGGACACCAACATTCTATACTTAACCGCAAAGGGATTTAAGAATTTGACAAGATAACTTTATATAGTTCCACTCAAATTTGGAGTTCTATGAAATAATTAAAGATTCCATTGAAATTTGGGAGGAGATACCCAAATTTCAGAGACTACCTTTTAACCACACTTCATCATTTGTAAGAGAAACCATTCAAAGTAATGGTTTATCAGCTGGGCACCAGTGGCTCACTCCTATAATCGTAACTTTGGGAGGCTGAGATTGAGAATACTGCAGTTTGAGACCAGGCCAGGCCAGGCAAATAGTTCACAAGAACCCATCTTCAAAATAACCAGAGCAAAATGGACTAGATGTGGGGCTCAAGTGGTAGACCGCCTGCTTTGCAAGCATGAGGCCCTGAGTTCAAACCCCAGTCCCGCTTAAAAAAAAAAAAAGTAATGATTTATCAAAGAGGGTTAATTCAAAGCTGGCCATTTAGGTATGTCAGAGGTTTATAAAATAAGAGTAATAGCTCCTTACAACTCTTGTCAGTCCAGACATGCAGCTCCTGTGCAAGCTCAGGAATCACTAAGAAAGTTCGCCATCCTTGCCGTTTCTTTGATTTTAAAATGTCTCCAAAAATGTGATCTCCAATATACAAAATGTCTTTGCCCTTGGCTCCCAACAGATCACAGATGGTATCAGATGAACCTGAAACAATGGAGTGAACAATGAGAAGACAAAAATAAATTCATACTAAAGCCAGCAAAATACCAATAATTACTCTTATAATTATGTGAGGGACAGAACTTTCTTAAAGACAAAGGTTCACCATTCTTTTCATGGCTTCCAAGACAAGGTTTTCAGCTCTTCTATGCTGACCAAGAGCTCTGATAACAAAGAGCAACACGTTTCACCTTATGAATATAACAGTCAAAATACCACCACCATTTTTCCATCACAGATCTGCCATTAAGTTGGCTTTACTCAACTGTTTTTTAAAAAAAAAAAAAAAACCAAAAAAAAAAAACACCTTTGAGAAATACTCCAAATGATTTCAGAATGCTGAGAAAAAGTCTTAGATACATAAAAGAAAGAGAGGAAAAGCTAAACCTTTCAGTGAAACTCAAACTCTTCCTCTTCAACTCATCACATTAGTAGGTAACTAAACTACATAATCAGTAGATGACATTTCTACTCCTGAAGAGTACAGGTAGTACTATGCTGAGAGAACACCAAAGTTTTCACAGTGAGGTCTGTAAAAATACTGTGTAAATACTTACAGTAAATAAAGGAAATCTATAACTCACCTCCTGAGTAGACAATACCATGCTGGAGGGGACCTGTGTAGGTACCAATTTTCAGCTTGCCAGTTTTCTGTGTAAAGAGAATATAGACTTTGTAATACTTCGTCATCTTATCACAATCTCTACCCACATGGCTAACTGACCACAAAGGCAAATAAATGGCACTTATTCTTCTCAATTAGCAGTTTTGTTTGGCTACTTCAGTTAAGACTAAAACTCTTAATTTCAAAAGAGAAATATGGCCATTAAGCTAACAAACAAACAAAAAACCCAACTTGTTTTCTTAGGGAAAGGGAAGTGGGGAAAGGAGAAACATGAAGGACAGTATCCTAGCAGACATATCACTCTCTCAACTTACAGTATCCACTTGACGTAATACTGTGCCTTCTCCAAAAAAGAGTGGCTTTCGTGCATCTACCAAGATCAGGTCAAAGTAGGACTGCCATGGTCGATGGGAGCTCCCAGGCTGGGAAGAAGAATCAGCAAAAGCTCAAACATCACTCCTTAACTTAAGGTACTAATATTTAATCTAATTCAAATGCAAGGAATTTAAAAACGCTAAGTATAACAAGAAGATCCCATTATTTTATTTAAAAATGCTTTATGTCCAGTTATAAGACAAATCTTTTTGGAAGCTGGCAGTTATAAATAATAGATGGTTAATAACCTCTACATTTTAAATCATTTCATCAACTACTTAGTTACAATAACTTATTTCATAGTACTTTAGTGTATGAAAGTTTGCTCATACTCTGAAATGTGAGAAAAGGAGCTAGTTGAAGATGCAAGTAAATACACAAGGGTATTTACTGAGAAACTGAGAAAGAGATTTGATCAACATAAAAACTAAGTGTATAAACTAATATTGAAGACATTATCAAGAAATTTTACTGGTTATGTTTTCAGTATGATGGCTTTAGATATCTATTGACCTTTAACTCATATTGCTAAGTAACCACAAGGCTAATGTAGAAGTTATGTCCATTAAAATTATTTATATCCTGAAATGGAACCATCAAAAGTACGACAGTAACCTTTCAGGCCAAATTGAAGGGTACTGTATACTGTAATTCTGGGTAATCTCAAACATGGATTTGCTGATGTTTATCCATAGAAGTCTAGAACTAAAATTCTACAAGTATGTGACTGAACTGCAATGGTTATTCCTTAAATCTAAGTGCAGCCATATAACAGGAATGAAGACTTCTCCTCTAAATACCAAGGTCAACTGCTCTTTGGGCACAAAACTCAGGATTAACTAATAGTGGAATCTAGAAATTGTCAGGAATAAACACATTCGAACTTTTGTTTTCTGTTAATCAAGTATCTTCCTAAACCTGAAATCTTTCATTGCCACACTAACTTAACAACACTACATAGAAGTTCTTGGGCATAAAATTATTCTGACCCCATTCACTAAAAAACACATAAATACCCCTTTTATTTCTGCTAAGTATTCAAACTGGTAGTGATTTTAAATTCTACTAATCCTGGATTACTGGTAATGTTAATGAGAATCAGACAACAGGATTTAAAATCAGGACTTTTCTCGTTGGGTGACCATTCCTCCCTCTCAGTTCCCAATGATTAAAGGCACTCATCACTTACTAAAGCAGTGGTCTATTAAGTTACTATTACCGTACCTTGGGGCCATGTGGAAAATCAAACAGGTAAGTCATAATTTTCTGGGAAGGAAAAAAGCATTATAAGGTCTATATACTTCTTTTGCAAAGATCTATAACAACTTTTAAAAACATATACAAGCTTTTCAATAAAACATGTCTTTTTTTTCAGTGTAAGATTCACCACATTCTTGTTTCCTCTAAAGTTTATGAAATCATGGCAGTGAAGGCTAGAAATTAATGCTTCATAATATGTAAAAAATAGCTTTTGACATTCTCAGGAAGGATATATACTCCTAGATGTTTCTATACAGACTCATCCATATATCCATCAGCAATTCTCCTAGACACACATGTGAAGGTAAGGAGTATATAAGGTGAGACACAGAGAAAACTGCTGACTCACATGGAAATAAATATTATCAAGTTTTTACATAACAGAACTCGGGGGACTGGAACTTCTTGCTTCAACTATTAAATTGTAATCATCTCAGCAAAAGTTAAGGAATTAGACCAGTTTCTCCACATACTTTAATCATGGTTTAAAAAAAAAGTTTTAAAGATGTAGTAGTAAATTTTGACGGCTAAAATTCAAAACACTTTTGTAGCACCTATTACTATAAGGCTTCCAACAGCAGGGAAGTACAACAGTAGAGGGTATGACTTCTCAAATGTATATAAATGATAGTTCAAAGAGGCACAGAAGCCACTTTAATCATCACAAATGCTTTAAATAGCCCCCAAATTAAACATTCAAATAGGTAACATGTAATCAGAGAAAACAGTAAAAGAATTATTTAGAAAAATTAGAACAGAACTGGAGGTATGGCTCAAGCAACAGAGTGCCTACTTTGCAAGCACTGAAGCTCTGAGTTCAAACCCCAGTCCCACCAAAAAAAAAAGAGTGAGAAAGAAAAAATTGTAACAGTTCTGTATATATTTTTGCTTTCTTCAATCTGTTTTCAAAGTGAAATGGCAAGAAACTATTTTCATTTAATAAACTTCTGTCCTTCTCATTATCTTCACAGTTCTTTAGGCCAAAATGATTTCTCTGTATAAACAAATATGAATATTAAGTACTTACATCTGTGTATTTATAATCACTGTTGGTGGCAAGAAATACTTTCCCTACTTCATTCATCCGGCTCAGAAGCAAAGGCAGTTTTCCCTGAAATACAAAATGATAATGAACAAAATGCTTAAAAAGTTTTGTGGGGGAAGGGCGCCTAGTACTGGGGTTTGAACTCAGAGCCTCACCCTTGGCTAGGCAAGCACTCTACCACTTGAACCAAGCCCCCAGCTTTGCATAGTTTTGTTTTTTAGATAAGGTCTCAGGCTTTTACCCAAGCAAGCCTTGGACTGTGATCCTGCTACCTTCACCTCCTGAGTAGCTGACATTGGAGATGTGTATCACGCCATGCCCAACCATTATAAATATCTTCATATTTACATTTTGGGGTAGTCATATACTGGAATCTGTCCACTGAAAAAGGAATAGGGTAAGTTTTTTAAGGATTAGCTGTTTGCATTTAGAAGTCCCAATTATCACTATCTATTAATAAAGTATCAACATGCAGTATACACAGTGTTTCTAACATATAGATTTGTATGTAACGTGATTATAAAATCATTAACAACAGATCTTTACCTTCCTCATGTCTGCCTCAGGAAAGAGTTTAAATTACCTTGTGATTTCCTGAAGTATGTGATCTAGGTGTGTTAGAGATTAGGAGAAGTTGATTTTAAACATCACCAGCAAATTCTCCGTATGAAGATTATTAGATTTGGCTATACTGTGTATACTATGGTTTTATAAAACACCTTTGCAGAATGAAATGACGTGTGACCAACACATGTGAGGGATTTTCACATCTACCTGCAGATAAATAAGGAAAGCCTAACTCCTGTTGTGCCTGGAAAGAAAAACACCTTTTTCTTCATTCACTATATGTTCCTTCATACAAATTCCCCCAGACCTTACCACTCAGTGTTCTTTTTTGAAATGGTAAGAGGAGGGGAGTGGAGACAGGAAGCACAAAACCTGAAAACAAGAAACCTTCACTGCATTCTGCTACTCTTACTCTACAGAAAAAGAAGGCGCTCATCTTGGAATTGTGTGTTTGCTTTGTTAAAAAATAATTTTAGACTTAGCCAAAAGTTGTGAAAATAGATTCATATATATGTTTGTATATATATTCCTTCCATATATTCTTCATTCATATTATGAATATTATTCCTTAATATTAACATTTAACTATAATATAATTACCAAAACTAAGAACACAGAAAGTGAAAGACAGTTCCAAAAGATAAACATATGCACATTTACTACTCTGTGGCACTTGGAGGAGGGAAAGAAAAAGAGAATGATGGAGTCAACAATATCAAATGCATACATTTTGATAATGTAATGGTGGGCACTGGTGGCTCACACATGTAACCCTAGTTACTCAGGAGGCAGAGATCAGGAGGATCGAAGTTTGAAGCCAGCCCAGACAAGTAGTTCATAAGATCCTATCTCAAAAAAAAACCCATCACAAAAAAGGGCTGGTGTAGTGGCTCAAGGTGTAGCTCCTGAGTTCAAACCCCAGTACCACAAAATAAACAAACAAACAAATGGATTACATCTGTGCAGGTAGAGGACATAACCATATGTATTGGAAACTGCTGAATAATGGGGGGGGGGGGGAGGGAAGGGATAAGGGAGAGTAACAGAGAGGGGTTGAACTGACCAAAGTAAAGTATATTCACAGCTGGGATACATCAACAAACTGCTTTGAACATTGACTTTGGAATTAAAATGGAAGACAGGACTATAAAAGGTATAGCGTGTGATGGGGGAGGGTACTTTTGCGAAGAGGGGGGTAAATGGAGGAGATGAAGGAATGTGGTTGATGGGCTTCATATACATACATGAAATAAAATGATGAAACCTTTTGCAATTGCCTTAAGTGGAGTGGGGAGCGAATTGCAGGGGGGCAAGGAGACGGTAAGGGCAGCCTAACCAATGTACAATGTAAGGCTATTGAGAATTGGCACAATGAATCCCCCCATACAATGAATATATGCTAATAAAAATGAAAAAAAAAAAAGCAGTGGCACAAATTGCTGAACCAGAAGTACTGATTAAATTCAATCTACTCAAAAAAATTAACATTGGTAAAACTTACTAACTTTGGTAAAGATTATTAGCTTCAGTTTGTATAAAAAGGTTTTAATCAGGTTTTCCAGTAATGTTTTTTTTTATTTTTGGTGGTAATGGGGTTTGAACTCTGGGCCTTGCGCTTGGCAGACAGGCACTCTATCATTTGAGCCCCACGCCAGCCCTCCACTAATCTGTTACGGTATGTTAAAGCTTTTCTCATTATTTCCTGTTGTCAGGCTGAAGGCATTTTAAATAACAGTCACACATTTTTTAGTCAATCTGTGCAGTGCTTATGATGTGAGTTAGATGTGGGTGTGAATCTTGGCTTTACTACTAATTAACTATGTCACCTTGGGCAAGATATCTGTCATCCCTCTAGTCCTCAGTTTCTTTATAAAACAGAAGTTATTTTACTTTATAAAGTAAAACAATACTTAACTCAGAGTTACACAGAAGGTTAAATGATATAGTACACAGCATGGTGATGTGCACAAAATAACCTTCTAGCTGCTATTACGATAATCAAACCAAAAGGACAAAGAACTACTGGATCTTCTTGCCTATACATATGCAGGAAGAACTACTAAGACCCGCGCTCTTGCTGAAAATTCTTGATGATTATACCTGGCACACACTACGCCAAAGAAATATCTTCTCTTGTCCATTTCACTCTAAATATGATTGTTACTCATTTCTTTAATGAGTAAAAGAAGCTACTGCATAAATCTATTTCCCCTTTTAATACTTACATCTTTGACAACATACTTCTCAAGATTTTCAACTGTCTTTTCCTTAAGGGAGCCCTGGAGAAAGACAAAAGAACTAAGAATAAAATTAGTTAACATTTAGTTGCTAAGAAAAATCATGTTTACTATAAACCTCAAAGAATTTATGTGTTTACCAAAATGAAAATCAAATAAAAAGGCCAAGAAAAAGTAGCTTCAAGCCAGGCCTTGGTGGTTCATAACTGTAATTCTAGCCTCTTGGGTGGCTGAGATAGGGAGGATCGAGGTTCAAGGCCAACACAAGCACACAGTTCATGATATCGCATCTCTAAAATAACCAGAGAAAAATGGACTGGAGGCATAACTCAAGCGACTGAGTACTTGCTTTACAAGTGCAAAGTCCTGAGTTCAGGTCCCAGTCTGACAAAAAAAAGTGAATTCAAATATAAAATTATTTCTATTTTAAATTAGAAATTAAAAGACATTTCATATTTTACTTAATACAGTTTAAAGTAAATGCAAATTTAATATTAACTAAATGTTCTTATTCAAGTAGGAAGTATTAGGACAAATAATAGGCTATCATCCACAAAAGATATAAATATAATTCCATATAGTAACTCTTCTAATTAGTGATGCAAACTCATTAACATCTAGAAGCTGAATATCACAACTGAAGGAATGAGCAGCAGGATGGCCAAACAAGAACAAATGGATTCCAGAGAACTAGTATCACAAGAAGGTGAGTCCCATGATCTCCTCCCTACCCCTTTAAACCAAGGAAATTCTGCTCCACTTGTCCTCATGAAGTTATTGCCAGAGTGTGAGCAGCATCTAGATACCTTGTAATGAACCCAGTCAACAGCATCTCTTACATCCTGGAACATACTCCGGTAGGACATGAAGAGGTCCCCATCTTTAAATCCTGTCTCACAGCTATAGAAAGATGAAAAGAACATGACAAGAAATCCAAAAGAGAGTAAATAAAGTGAGTATCAAAAATTGCCCAGGGGGCCCAAAGGTTCCATATCACATGTGTATATGCTGTGGCTAATTAGTAAAATAATTACTCTCTAATGAAAATCCATTTTTGACCACTTAGAAACAGCCATAGTGTTCAATGGAATATAGTAATTATCAACAAATACAAAGTGATAGAAAAATGTATTGAATGGAAAGTGAAAGGCCAAAGTTCCAAAATATCAGATTCTTTATTTCTTTTTAGAAACAGGTTCCCACTGAAGAAACATTTAAAACTTAAAATTGCTTGTTTAGATCCTTTCCACCCTCACTTTCTGACATTGGCCCTAGGTACAAAGGTATTGTCCAATTTCTACTGAGCTTTGTAACTCAGCTTTCCACCAAATTTAATGTCTTGAAGTTGGAGAAGGCCTAAGACAAGAAGTTAGCAAACTCTGGCATATGTGGCTATACTTTCAGCAGTGCTATACAATTCCCCTCAAAATGAAAAGGATAGCTTTTTAAAGACTTAAGCAAAATTTTGCTTTTAGAAGATACACAGTATTTATTCCTCAATGAAATCTTGCTGGGCCTGGGAATGAAACTAAATTACCATCCCTGAATGGCTCCTGGGTAGCTGCTGTGAAATGAGTTGGGGGGTTTTAGTGTAATTCTGCTTGGACAGATAATCATCACACAAACCTCCCACTCAGTTGTCACAATTAGCACCTCTGCTGGCGTCTTCATTCCCAGGAGAAGCCAATCAGAAGTGGTCCCTTCCAAACATGGCTGCAGCACACTGGCAAGGAGAGGGGCCGTGTGGGAGGTGAGAGCCTGCATGGAGCTGCTGGTGCTGTCCCATCTCTCAGGCTGGCAATGTGGCATCTTTCACTAGCACTAAATTCACTTTAGAAAAGCAGAAAAGACCTACAATGGCCAGTTCTCTAAAACCCTGTACATTAATTTTAAAAATCAACTAGAAAAAGAAAATTGTAGTATACACATACCTGGTATATCTGGGACAATTAGTAAAAAAATCTACTAGGCAGGCCAACAGGTAGGTCTCTGAAAAATGAAGAATAGATATTCATAAGCTCTAAATGAAATAATTCAAACGTATTTCATTACCTCCCTTGAACAAAGACAAACGGTCATAGAAAGAAGGGACAGCATCAGTACATATAAGCAAAGAATGAGTCTACCTGGTAGATTGAATAGTGTGTTCAGAATGTAAAATCGTTCAGTGTCATCTCGTTGAATAAATTTATTTGGATACTGCTCTCTAGTTTCTGGTCTGAAAGAAAAATTTTTAAATTAACTGACATTTATAATATTAACATAATTGTGGTAAATAGTCATTACTCAAAAATTGATTCAAATATTTTGATGCCTATGTGCAAGACAGGGTTCCAAATTAAACATGAAGGTAAACAAGCTCTGGCTCTAACTTTTAAGAAGTCAGTTCTCAGTCTGGTAGGGGAGGTGAGGCACATACACATACAATAATAACAGGATAAAAAAATCACAATTATTACAAGAAAGTTGCAAAGAGGTAGAAGAAAAGTAAGGGGAAACTATTTCAATTTAAAGGTAGAAGGAAGTGAATGTGAAGAATGAGGCAAAGACAACTACCAAGGATTCATGTAAGTGCCACATAAGAGCTGGGTTCTAAAGTCTAAATCTATCAGTTCAGAAGCTAGTCCAAATTTAGTAGAGAAAGGAGAAAAGAGAAAATTATAATACACTTCAGAATAAGAGAATGCAATTTACAGTTGTTAAGCATGGGGATTAAACCTGTCAGAACTAAATTGTAAAAAGATTATTAAACTGGTAGCTAGTTTAGGATAAACTGGAGAAAGGAAATGTGATGTATTGTAAAAATGGCTACAAATTCTTTCTGCCTCTTTGAAATGCAACTTTGTGTCTCCTCCCATTAGAGGCTCAGTTTATTTCTCCATCCTTGAACACAGGTGTAAACAGCAACAAATGAGATTCAGAGACTTGGAAAACACTTGTGCATTAGGACTTACCCTCTCCCACTACACTTGGAACTCTGAGACTACTCTGTGAATGCGAGTGAGATACTCTGCTAGAAGATAAAAGGGTACATGAAGAAATGAGGCACCCAACCCAAACCTGCCAAGTGACAGACATGTGAAATGAGGTCATTCTAGATCAGATGCTAAGTAATTAAATAGTCCAAAGAGATCAGGTGAGCAACCCCAGAACTGCCCAGCCAACTTTCAGATTTTTGTTTTTTTGAGACAGTTTCGTTATGCAGCTCAGGCTGGCCTTAAACTCATGATCTTCCTGCCTCAGCTTCCCCAGTTCTGGGATTATAGGCATACATCACGCCCAGCTAACTTTCAGAATTTTGAGCTAAATAAAATAGTCACTGTCTTAAGCCACCATGTTTTGGAATAATTATGCGGCAAAAGCTAACTGATACAGAGACAAAGTAATGGGAAATCAGCAAGGTGGTTAATCCAGTAGTCTAGGTGAGAACAGTAGGGCCTGTTCTAGTCCAGTGTCAAGGAAAATAAAGAAAATGTGTACTTTTCTTTTTGGAAGGGTAGGGAGACAGTGCTGGGGATCAAGCCCAAAATCTTGTGTATGCTATGCTAGGTAAGCACTCTATCTCTGAGCTATATACCCAGTTCAGGGAAAAATGTATTCAAAAAGATTGCCAAGGGAAATGAGTAAGAACAGGCAACTGATTGGATTGGCAGATGAAGGATATAAGAGTTAGAGATGATGATGCTTATACTAATGTCTTTGAGAAGTGATTGGTACTGTTAATAAACATATGAAAAATGGATAAGAAGTAGATGTAAGAAGAGTTCTACTTTGACTACACTAACTTGACATAAACAGATTTTTGGCATGCAATTAGACACAAAGGTCAGGAATTTAAAACAAGGCCGGCATAGTGGTGCATACCTGTAATACCAGCTCTGGAAGCTGAAGCAAGAAGATTGCCAGTTTGAGGCCAACCTGGACTATATAGAGGCAAAACTCTAGTCTTAAGTAAAAATTAAAAGAGAGACTCAGATTTGAGAGATAAAATCATGAAAACTATTAGAATAAAACAAGGTAGAACATTCAGAGTTAAAAAAAAAAAAAGCCAGTGAAATGGACAGAAGTCGTTGGAGATATACAAGAAGCTTGAAGAAGGGAACGATATTAATAAAAATGGATCAGAGAAACTAAAAGGGAGGAAGAATAAAAATAGAAAAATGTACAATTCTCACAGTGACTATAAGCAAATTAACAAAGTTAAATAAAAGAAAGCAAATATATAATGCTTAGGGTGACTTAGGTAAATTCTTGCTTAGGTTTGTTAATTACAAATGGCACAAACGAGTTAGGCACATAAAATGTTAGCTACCTGTCTTAGTCACCTCTTAGTCATCCTTATGAAATAAAGAGTTTCTAATTAAAAAAAAAACTTTGTAGTATTAAGACCTCATCTTCTGGCCTTTCAAGATTTTCTATAATGACAAATAAGGTAGAAGGGAATAGTAGCAATATATTGTCTTCAGTCAGGTATTGTAAGATGACACTATCTCCTTAGTTATAATACTCTCCTGTTACCTCCATCATTAAAGAGCAATTCCTTTAATAAAGATAGTTCACAGTTAGTTTTTAGGCAGTTACAACTCAAACTGACTTAGCAATTCCACTTCAATTCAAAGAGAGGTAATGTATCATAAAAGAAGGAGAACTGGGGCTGGCGGTGTGGCTCAAGTGGTAGAGCACCTGCCTAGCAAGGGCAAAACCCTGAGTTCAAAGTCTCGTACCATCAAAAAAAAAAAAGGGGGGAAAGGTGGATGAAACTTTCCCAGCCTGTCAGATATGTCAAGGTGGATGTTTACTTCACACTGCTCTCACAATGTACACCTGAGACATGAGTAATGTCAGTAAAGAATATTGTATTAGATACTTCAATTTTAAGTGGGGTACTCAGATTTAAGGGAAGAGCTGGTATAATTTCAGTTATCCTCTTATCACAAAAAAGTACTTGCCAAAAGACATCTTTTCAATAGTTTCATTGTGACTAAAAAAAAAAGTAGTTTTTACTACTTTTTCATCAAGAATGACGTGAGAAAGTTACAAGAGAATTATATAACCTATTTTGGTTTTAAAAATTGCTGTTCTGAGAATGAGCTCCTCAGTTACTCATCTTGATAGTGTGGCATCTTGACATGTGGATACTCCCTAGTACATGAAACAGCACCACAAGTAAAAACCAGTTCAAAGATGCCCTGTGCAGAAAGTCAGTGCCCTGTCTTGACAAAGTGTTACTTAAGCACTGGATTAGTCTACATTTGAGGAAGATGTCATGGTGAAATATTTCTGCTCTCCTTTTCCAGGAGTTTTTGAGTTTGTGCTCTAATTAAATTAATTTTACACTTACACACACACACACAAATGCTGCTCTGAGCCAGGTGCTGGTGGTTCCCAGCTACTTAGGGGGCAGAGATCAGGAGGATTGAGGATTGAAGCCATCCTGGAGCAAACAGTTCTAGAGACCCTGTCTTGAAAACAACACATTATAAAAAAGGGTTGGTGGAGTGGCTCAAGTGGTAGAGTACCTGCCTAGCAAGTGTAAGGCCTTGGGTTCAAACCCTAGAGTCCCTCTGCCCCCTGCAAAAAAAAGTTGCTATTCTGACCCTATTACAATGTCAATAGTAAATAAGTAGAGAAACTGTCAAATTGTGGTACTTTGATCTGTAAAGAAAAAAAATTGAAAAAAAAGAAAAAAAATAGGAATGCTTCACCAAAAAAATAGTAGCTACTAAATTTTATCTATTGTTTATTAGAGTGGAAAAGTCCAAATCAGTAACAACAGTGGAAATATTCTAACTATGAAAACACAACTTATACAGTTTTTTTTTCTTCTTTTTTGCAATACTGGGTCCAAACCCAGGGCCTGTACATGCTAGGCAAGCACTCTACCACTGAGCTACATCCTAGTCCGTATTATCTTTTCTTTTGTGTGACAGGGTCTCATTATACTATTCAAACTTTCTTTGTGATCACATTCCTGGGCTCAAGGATCCTCCTGCCTCAACTTTCCAAATAGCTAAGACTACAAGCAAGCAACACTATACCTGGGATTTACCCTGTATTCAGGGTACCCTCTATTTTAAATGTTTTGTGTGTGTGTGTGTGTGTATGTATGTGGTACTGGAGTTTGAACTCAGGCTTTGAACCATATACCCCACTGCCTTTTGCTCTGGTTATTTTTGAAATAGGGTCTCACTTTTTTACCTACATCAGCCTCAGGCTCCTATCCTCCTACTTAAGCTTCCTGCACAGCTGAGATGACAGGAACAAGCCACCACACCCATCTTTGGTTGTTGAGATTGGGATCTTGCTAACTTTTTGCCCTAGTTGGCCTCGAACCGCATTCCTCCTGAGTAGCTGGGATTACTGGTATGAGCCACCACACCTAGCCTTATGTGTTTGAATCACACAAATGTCTCAAGCTATTCATTAAAATATAAAAAATAATGTATTAGCTATTAAAAATCTCTTAGTCATTTAAATTGCTACAGTTTAAAAGTTTTCAAAGCACTTTTATGTACATATCTCTTCTATGCAGCTACCTGAGAACTGTATTAAAAAAGAAAATAAAAATCTTAGAATTTCAAAAAGTCTAAACTATACTTCTGTTTTAAGCAAGTTTTTGGGATTAGCTTTCTTGAAAGATGCTGTATAATTAGAAGGCATTTAATTTAAACAAAATGTAATTACTAACTATATTAATAAGTAAGTTTGGTTTTAACTGCCCAATAAATGTTAACTAGCCTTATGTAAAGGAAAGGCTCTTTAATGGTGGAAGGAATAGGAAAGTACAGTACACTTGTAGAGACAATGTCATCTTCATATTGTTTAACTATAAAATACTAGGAAGAGATGGCTGGAAGTAGGCTTCAAGTGGTAGAGCACTTGCCTAGCAAGTGTAAGGCCCCGAGTTCAAACCCCAATACCTCAAAAAAATTTAAAAAAAAGAAAGAGGTTACAGGTTCTTTGTACTCACCCTCTTATGAAGTTAAATCCATGTGCACAGACCAACAGGTTTCCATAGGCATCAACTTTCAAAAGATTTCCATATAGTGTGTCAAAGACAAGTCCTCTGCACAAAAATGATCACATCACTGATAGTACAAAGTAATACAAGTAATAATTTTATGTAGTACTACTCAATCACCATGAACCAATCTCTAATTCAAGCTCTGTAGCAACTCAGGTATTTCCCAAAATAGTATAACTTTGAAGACTAAAGTGAGTGAATATAATCTTAAAAACGAGTTCAGGGACTAGGGATATATAGGGATATAGCGGTAGAGTGCCTGACTGGCACGTGTGAAGCATTGGGTTTGATCACCAGCACTGAAAAAAAAAAAAAAGACAAAAACAAAAAGAATCCTAGAGCAACTAAAACATTTTTTCCACATAGATAAGAAGTCACAATTGTTTTCTTTTGGGAGTAAGACTCAATCAAACAGGTATAAAGTAGAATTCTTCTGATTCATTCTAAAAGTCTTTACATTTCCTTGGACAACAGAGCTGGCCTATATTTTCCTCTATTAAATGTTGCATGTGGGACATATATGATAGTACTTCACATAAACACCATTTTTCTTCATCTTAAATCTTTCTTACCAAATTCAGAAATGCAAACTTCCAAGAAGGGTTTGATTGCCAAGTTAAATATATTAGCAAAACATTTAACTGTCCCCTAACATCCAAAGGTAGGACAAATGGGACCATCTGTGATTATAGCCTATCATCTTTAATGATCCCTTTTCTTACACACAAGTGCATCGTCTTTAATAGCAATAAACTGAGCTCGACTCTGGAACACAAAAGAGCTATGCATGGTGGCAAAGGTTTATAATCCTAGCATTTGGGAAATGGAGGCAGGATTTTCAAAAGCTCAAGGCCAGTCTGGGCTCCAGATCTAGACTCTGCTCCAAAAACAAACAAACAAACAAAAACAAAGCAAAACAAAAAACAGAAATATAAGATAGAGTGGTTTTATGTTGACTGAGTAGTACCATATGCATACATGAAAAGTTCATGGCAATTTTAGAATCAACATTAACCAAAACAACCAATAAAGAATTATTTAAAGTATTCTTTGGACAGGGATAAATTTGGAATTACTAATTCTGAGAATAGGGGGAGTGGTCTTAATCCAAAAATATCTTGAAAAATTACCTGGTAGGGAATGTAGAATCATAAGCAAAGCTGAGCAGCTCCTGGGGATAGCCAATAGAAACTAGTCTCTCCACAGTAAGCTCAAAGCCAAGGGACTCATATTCTGGGGACTTGTACACTGCACAAAAAGAAGGTTCTCATTAGCCAGAATACAAAGCAGCCCATTAAAAGAGAAGGCAAATGAATGAGTTTCTATGCTTTCTCAAGTCCTCCTTTTCCTCAATTTGCTATTTTTCTTCTTTCCCCTCAAACTCTATGTTCTGTACTGCTCTGAGCAATTAAGAGAATTCAACTGTTAGTCTGTGGAAATAGGTCATATTATGTCAGGAGCAGCAGACAGAAGAATTTTAAAACATTCAGAACACTGCTTTCATTCTTACACAACCTATTCTAAACATTTTTTCCCTCTATTCTTTCATTTCCCACAATCCAAAGGCAGGAAAAAACCCTAATAATAAACAGCTATGACATTAGCTAAGAAAATATAAGTAAACAGAAAACTAAGCAAGATAATCTATATTCGAAGGGTTTCCTACACAACTGATGTAGCAATATTCAAAATAAGTTTTTTTTTAAAAAAAGCATTTCCAGAATTCCTCTTTGGCTTAGCAGTTGCTTTGTACTCTTCCAATCAGCATATTTGTTCTACTTGTCATATTAATTTGTTTTCTTATCAGCCCTAATAACATTCTAGCCTTCACAATTGCATATTATAAAGTATTATTGCAAACAAACCATAAAAAGACATGTCTAAGACAATTAGGAATATCTGCATGTGAACTAGAAATTAGTCATTGAAGAATTATGATTCATATTAGACATAATTGTGGCAGGTGAGTACATGCAAGTGTATGTAAAAACATTTCTCCTTATCTGAAGGAGCATACTGTTTGTTACATTACCATTATGGGAATTTCTCTCTACTACTGTGTCTGAAATTTTCATAATGAAAAAAATCTTTTTAGAGTTATTACTGCAGTTCACCAAAAAGAAACTGTCACTCCTTTAACATGCTTCTTCCAAATAAAATATTTAAGTTAGCAACCTTCCACCAATGTCTAGGAGTGGGTAAGCCACATTAAAAATAAGAATAAAATTAAAAGACCTGCTCATTTGCTAAATGCCAAGTGAGACAAAAATATCTATCCCATTCTTACAGTGTCATCACAATGCAGCTTTCACTGTACTAGCAACAGTTCTTCCCTTCTACTATTGAATCTTTAGCCTTCAGCTCAGATTGACTTTTCACTGTACTTAATCTGCATATTTAAGTTAGTACTGATATTTTAGTGAAAAAAAAATTCTACTTTCCCTTTCCCAAAGCAATCTTTAGAATATTTCTGGAAGTATATAAAATAAATCAGTAATAATGACTGCTTCCAAACACAGTGAGTGGCTATGTTACCCAAGGAGAACTTCAGATATCTTTAAAGCTTGCAACATACTGATATATTTATCTATTTTTAAAACCAAATTGAAATTTTTAAAAAGCAAGTTGGGCTTTCAAAAGTCCTTTAATAAGCATCATCAGAGTTAAAAAATCAAAAAATAAAGCCTACATTTTGAAAGCCTTTTAGGAGATGCCTGAGTTTCATCTCAGAACAAGGCCAAAAGAAGATTCTTGTTTCTTTTGTTGTCTTGGAGGTAATGATGACTGAATGTTAGTGCTAAGTCTGGATAACATTTTCAAAGTGGCTATATTTCCTCACCTTAACCCCTGCTTTATCCTCCCCACACAACCCCCCAAAAACAAAATGTTGAAGCCTTAACTGCACAATTCCTGAATCTGTATGATGTACACTGTGGTAAAGGAAGTGACACATGTTCATACATATTAACAGAGTAAGAGCTAGTGACAGGCCTGCTACCCACTGATGTTAATTTGAGTTATACTGAAAATAGAAACTAACACCTCTCACTTTACTGTCCCCCATGCTCTCACCCCAGTTGCAAGTAAATCTCATTTAACAAAATTTCTGTAAAGCAAAAATTACTTCTCCATCCCAATCAAAGCTCCATTTGTTTCAAACAATATTTAATGAAATAAAATTCCAACGTAGTTATTTGGGTAACTTATTGACATTCATTATTATAGGATCTGGCCCATATAAAATGTTTTCAAGTATTAATTTTCAAAAGAATAATTTGCTAAATAGCCTTAAGTATGGGGAACAAAAACCAAACCTTAATCACCCCCATGAAGCTCACCCCAAAAATCAGCAAGTTTCCTAGTTAGTGAATCAGGTAACAACTATACAGTGATGGAGTACCTGGTGACTGAAATCTAAGTCTATGTGTCAACTAGGACTAAAGCTCAAATTCGGAATTTTTAGTAAAAACAAAAAATGCAGGGAAAAATATCTCCAATCTCTACTTTGCCAGTACAAATGCCATTGTAGCAGAAAATGAAACACTATACATTTGCCACACTGTATTTATCCAACAGGCAGAACTTCCCAAATGTTCAACTGAGGAGACTTTCTACAAATCCAAGTACAGAAATTGACACTTTAAATTTTCTTTTTCTCAGTGAGTATGGGGGTACTTCACAGAAATAGGATGTATCATCTCCATTTGCTCACCTGAAGTTGAATACAAGTATCAGCTGATGCCAAAATTTAGGTCTCTCTGAGTCTGATCTGAAACTCTTTGTGATGGGGTATACAATCACTGGTATGAATCTTTAGATTGCACAAGCCATCAAAACTTAAGCTTGGATGCTGAAAATGTATTATTTTCCACCACCAGTTTCTTTCAGCTAGTCCAAAATAAACTTCTCTAGTTTCAGGTGGGAATGGATTTACCAAAGACAGTCCAAGTTCCATTTTGACAACACTATTTCATCAAGCTCTACATTAATCAGCAAGACCTACAAGCTATTGACATTTTCTCATAAGCTTCTCGGATAATCATTTCAGCAACACATACTCCCAGGTCATTAAATCATCTGCTAGAAAGCTATACAAAATTCACCCAGGGCTGAGGGAGCAGAATTCAGCTGCAGGAGCATGAACTTAGATGTCTTATTCTAAGTGTCCTTTGGGAATTAGACACATTTGTTCTGACCTGGTTGCAAAAATTTCTGAAGCTTACAAAGTATCTTTTAAAAGTAAAGATTAAAAAGCAAAATTTCTTTTTTTAATCAACCAGACCCTCAAAGCCAGCCTTAGAAATTGCAAGGAACCATATCTATCACCTCACAAAGTAGAGCTCCATGCCTCTCCACAGCTGCAAAGGCTCTAATTTCAGTTTTGTTTTGTTTTTTCCCACAAAACTGTGGCAAGTAAATGATGCACAGCTTCAAGCTCAACTCTTACAACCGACTTTCCATGGTTCCAAAATCTAGCTATCAGCTTCAAAATAAATATAACCTCACACACTAACTGCTTACTTATTCTCCAAAGAGGTCCTAAAGCCTACCCCAACTTATCCAATCCAATATGTAAAGACAAAGGAAGAAACTGTTTTAAGGGCCAGAGTCCAAAAAAAAAAAAAAAAGGACTGTTTCAGCCCCTAGGACAGCACACAGTGTTCTCAGGTTATGTAACTAGACTAATATAAAGAGAACAACCAAAGCTTTCAAAGTTGAAGCTTACTGAGAGCATTTAAAGATATTCTTTACTCCATAATCTGTAAGAAAAAAACACCTCTTCAAAAATAACTATGCGTTGTGGGAATGAGAAGTTGTGAGCTTTGTTTTCAGTAGATGCTGTTTATACAAGACAGAGTTTATGTTAAAGGAGAAAGTTCTTTGCAGTGAGCAGAAACTTTCTGCATGGAAGTTTGAAATTCTCA